AACTCAGTGTGAGGTTCAACTGCTTGTAGAAAATAAAAACTTGGGAAAAGTAATACAAGAGAAAGAGGTTCACTGTAACGGTCAAGCAAGAAGCCTAATCATGCCTTTCCTCCACCAGAAATCATTCCCATTCTCAAGGCAGGAGGCTTCCCTACGCCCTAAATATTTCAGTAGCAAATACATTTATCTAACTATAATTTCTAACTCTCTCCTTCTATACAGGATCTGAGTAACCAGGAAATACATTAAATGTCATTCATTCATTTATCTATTTAGGACATTTACGTAAAATTGCTTTAAAAATCCAGAATACTCATTCTTTAGCAATCAATTAAAACAGAGGCAGTTCAGAATTAATATCTTTTGTTCCATTTACCCTTATAACTAAAACAAGTCCACAAAGAAGTTTATTTTTGACACAGCAGAGATGCAGGAATATTCAAATAAACATTCTGATTCATGCATTCATCCAGCACAATTTTCTTCAATAAACTGCAGAAACACTTGGAGCAATGCTGGTTTAGTCAATGGATTCCAAATTACTATTTCTACTATTACTGTCCTTCCTTTTTCGATTAATAATTCTAATGTCCCTAGTGAACTATTTGCAGAATCAAAGACTGTTCAGAGAACTGATAATATTTCCAATCATCAGTGTGTCATACGTTGTAGTGGACTGAAATATGTCCTCCCAAAACTAGCTGAAGCTTGAATTATGTCCCCCAAGTTTTATGTATTAGAAACTTGGTCCCCACTGTGACTGTTAACAGGGTGGGAAATCCTATTATGGTAATTGAAAGGTGGAGCCTTGAAGAGGTGATTGGATTGTGGGACAATGTAGTAGTGAATGGATTAAAAATGGTGGTCAGCAGTGTGGTTCCGAGGGCTTCAAAAGAAGAGGAGAGTCTGTCTCTCTGCTCTATCTGCTCTCTGTTTCTACCACCTTGCAATGTGAGATCCCTGGTCGCCACCAACTGATGGACTTTAGACTTCCCAGCCTCAGGAACTTTAAGCAATAAATTTTGTTTTCTTTATAAATCACCCAGTTTCAAGTATTTTGTTATAAGCAACAGGAATGGACTAATTAACACATGTTAGGTAAAGTCATTGTACTAAACAAGATACTCTGTTGCCTAACTACCATAAGAACAGTCTAAGAAGTTTTTTTTATGATCTATGGAGGCAAAATGCCCCAGAGTTCCATATGCAATGGCATACTTCAGACTCAGTTTGCATTTGGAATCATAAGGCAACCCAGAAGTGAATGTATACAAATATATTACAACCAGAAGAAACACAAATCAAAAGTCTATGTCCTTGTTATGGTGTACCAAGAATGGTACATTATTATGAATTATGATTATACATTTATCAAATGTAAGTTTTGCATAAATACTGCTGGCCATAGAACACTATCAGAAAATGGAATATGGATTACAGTAGAATTCAATTAAGGATATGCTATACCAGCGTAGAAACTACTAAATTTCACTTCAGAGTTGAATTTAGGACAGTGAGCAAAATTTACTTGGACATGCAAAAAACAGACACGAACATTCCAAATGTACAGGGTTGCCTCATCTTGATCAGTCAGCACTATGAGATATATCACCAGCTATGAAAATCTACACGTAATCGACCAAAATGTATAGAAGTCCCCCATAAAATGCTTCCACATGAAAACGCAAAAATACCAAAATTGGTAAGTGAAATGGTGGTTATAAAACACCTACTGGGTTAGAAAATGTTTCAAATTTCTAGTGAAAATGTGAAAGTAGGTTACAAGTTTACAATACCATACATAACTACATGCAGTAAAACAATGTATTCATTCAACTTCTTAGACTTAGAAGTTACAAACCTTGTCAGTGTCCTGATACCCTAAAACAACTTAGCTGGATCAGGAAGAATTTCAGAGCTACTAAATTTAAATAAGAATAATGAAGACATTTGTAAAACAATTTTATTAGATCAGTGGTAGAACTACAAAGTAAAAACTATAGTTTTAACATAAACATCCAGCTTTCCATAATTTGGGCCACTCTTAAAAAGTTAGCAAGAATAAACAATCACTATGATATGTCTCACTACCATACTTCTGGTATCTTGTGGCAATTCCAATTCCCCTTGGTATCCTGGAAAGCCTTAGAACTTTAAAGCTAAAAGTCAACTGTAAGATTCACCACCTTCAAGATGTGTAAACTGTGAGAGCCCAGAGTTATATAACTGGTTAGACTTCTATGAGTATGTTAGAGTTCATCACTAATGCAGAGAGCAAATTATAAATATGTAAACATTTATGCCATTTTATATTTGGCAGAGGATTCTTCTACATTTCAATTTGACAGATTTACCTGCTCTAGGTATTTCTTTGGTCAGTCATTACAGAAAACTTTGGAATCTACATACCTAGATAACTGAATTTTCTATTATACAACCCTATATTATATTAGACTAAATGAGGCTAGTTTTTCTGACCTAAAAGAAACATTAGAGGTTTTCCTATATGTAAGGAAATTAAAATTCAGAAAGGTTAAAATTGTCTTACACTAAAACTCAATTTCACTAATATATTAAAACATTATATATTTTAATTAACATTGGTTTTCCTATTTGGAAATCTGAATAGACTGTCACTATCAATGAACAGTCTAGATATATTTAAAATAGCCCAGAAATGGAAAACTGTACCATTTTTTTATTTGGTTTAAGATATATCATAAAGCTTAACACTGAAATAGCCAAACAACAAACTTCAATGAGTACTCTCTAAATCAAGAACCCTAGCTGTGAGGATTCCATTGATGTCACTTCAGTCTTTGCTACCCAAGTCCAGGTTCTCACTTAATAGTCAAAATACGGAGATTGAAGCTACATCCCCCACCCACATTTACCACACCAACAGAATCAATTAAACTGTGTCTTCAAGACGCTATCTCCAACACTAGATGCTGGTATGGATGTGGAGTACCTGGAACTCTCATTTGTTGCTGGTGGAAATGCAAAATGGTACAGCCACTCTGGAAGACAGTCTAAGAGTTTCTTACAAAGACAAATATAAATATACCACACAATGCAGCAATCATGCTCCTAGATATTTACCTAAGTGAGTTGAAAGCTTAAGTACACATGAAAACCTGCAAATGAATATTTATAGCAACTTTTCACATAATTGCCAAAAATTAGAAGCAACCAAGATGTTCTTCACTATGTGAGTGGAAAAGCAAACTGTGGTACAACTACACAAGGGTGTATTATTCGGTGACATAAAGAAATGAGCTATCAAGCTATAAAAAGACATGAAGGAACCTCAAATATATATTGTTAAGTGAAAGACGCCAGTCTGAAAAAGTTACATATTGTATAAGTCCAACTACATGACATTGTGGAGAAGGCAAATCTACAGAAACAGTAAAAAGATCAGTGGTTACCAGGGGTTTAGAAGCGCTGGGGGGGGGGGGGGGGGGGGGGGGGGGGGGGGGGG